ATATTTAATATTTTTAAATTTTATAAAAGCAAGATATTTAATACAAAGTGTTTTTTCATTGTAATAACGTTAGAATTTTATTTATCTATATATAATAGTTTTTTAATAGTTGACAAACAATTGTTACGAATAGATCCATAGATTACAATTAAAGAACAGTAATAGAAGTAAAGATATTTCTATATGTTATAGAGACTTTCTATATTAATAAATAGTTATTTTTTATTTTGCCAAATAAGAAAACTGTTAAGTATTTTATACGTTTTTTCTTCTCTGGAAATATTATTATTTTCTACTTGCTTACTAACTTCAAAATCTCTCGTAATCTGTCAAAGGTCTCTCAACATATCTTGGGAAATTTCTTGAAGTCTGTCATTTAAACTAGAGAGTTAGATATGTAATTCTTGTAACTGGGTATTCATATTCGGGTGAACTTTCATATCATAATAATTAAATAACCCTTCCAGTTATTGCTGATGTACCACAACGCTCCATATGCAAAATTTGACAAATTCATGTATTAGAGGAAATTTTGCTAGTTCTGCTCTATCAGAATTTGCAAATACTTCAAACTCTTCAAAAAAATCAGATTGTTTTAATGCTTCTAATAGTCCAAAAGTAGTTAAATTTCTATTAGACAGATCTTCTTTCAAAACGTAGACGTAAGAGATTTCTTGTAATGAAGGAATCTTCGAAAAATTTTTGTTAAAAAATATATTTAAAAAAGCATGAGCAAATTCTGGTCTGTTTTTTCTACCTAACCAACAAACACTTAAAGGTAAGTAAATCCAGGTTTCCATCTACTTAACAAATCTGTTTAAAGTATTTTCTATCCCAGCTTGTAATGATTCACGAAAAAGTTCATAATCTATTATATTTAACTCACGTTCAGCATCAGCTAATTCATCTTTGAACAATATATAAATATTTTCTAAACAGTTTTGAAGCTTTTGAATCTATATTATTATCTTATCTGGCATTTCGTGAGCACGGTTACCAGGAGGAAGAGTATTCATATTATTTGGTAAGTAGATTCGTGGAATTGGATCGTATCCTGTTAGAAAATCATAAATAGGTTCATAAAACTCTTAACCAAGTTTAACAAGGCATCGTATTTAGAGATTAAGTCACTTATCTGTAAGCCACTTAAAGAAAATTTGCTATTTATGTAAATATGATGTTAAAATATTTTTGGTATTTTTAAGTTATTCAATGAAGAATTGTGCAAATTTAATATGAACATTACATCAATCAAGGTATTGTTTAGCAGTTTTAAGTTTATATAACCACCATTGACGTATAGGCTGTTGATATTTGCATATTTCAACATTAAACATTGTTTTATAGAGTTGTTTTAATATTTCAGATTTCAGATTTAGCGAACTGTCTTTATCTGAAAGATCGTACCCATCATGAAGATGAAAAACCAAGTTAAGTAGATTAAATAGATGTTCTTTTAAAGATAATCCTTTAATCGTATCTAATTTTCCAAAAGCTAAATTCTCAAAATTCATTAGGGCGATATGGGTTGCATGTAATCTACAAGGGATTCTGAATAATTGGGATATTGCTAATAAATTGAATTTAGCAACTGTGCTATTAGTTTTTGAAGACATATAGACTATGTTATCCATTAACCAAAAATGACATTTTTGAGGATCAATATTTTTTTGTTTACACGTTCAAATACAGTAGTTGATATTGTTTCAGCATTACAACGTGTTATATCAATTATTTTTGCTATAGTAATTGCCAGTTTTGCTTTAATATCATTCTAATATGAAAGACAAATAATTAATACTTTCATTTTCTCTCATGTGCTTTCATCGGCCATAATGCTATAACCAAAAAATCTGGAAGTTTTTTTAGAATGATTTTGATTAAATGACAAAGCTGCTATTTTGTTATTCCATCACGCTAAAGTTGATGATGATACCCACTGCTGTGGCGTCTCTCCAGTCAAGAATTGATAGACGGCTTTAGTGCACTCTATAGTTGCACTTATAGAGGTTTGGCCTATATTACTAATATCGGTAGCTAATTTTATAAATTTGGCATTATATTCCTTATTATTAACTTTAAATAATTTATTAGCAACATGTCAAAATTGGGCAGGTCTGATTTTTTTTGCTTTATGAATTGCTGATCGAATTCTGGAAACTTGTCTTTTTTTTGATTGTCTACTTGTATAAAATATGATCGAAGTTTAGTATTTATTGCTGATATTTTTTTTTTAAGTGTTGATTCTCTTTCTTTAAATTTTTATTTTTTAATTCTAACGTTATTACAATGAAAAAACACTTTGTATTAAATATCTTGCTTTTATAAAATTTAAAAATATTAAATAT